TATTATTATTATTATTATATTATTATTATTATTATTATTATTATTATTATTATTATTATTATTATTATTATTATTATTATTATTAATTGTATTTTTGACCAGATAATTACCAAATCAAAAAAGTTTTAAATCGTGTAAATAATCAGTGTAGAAAAGTATCGAAAATAATCTTAAGGAAACGCTGCAGTAATGTTTGCTTAAATGTAAAGTTACATAGTCAGAAATTATGTTATTGGCTTAATTGTCCTTTACCATAATGGCTCTACCACACCACCCCCATCCCACAATGCAACGTTCACTTCTTTACTTTTAATGATCCATTCAATATCGTTTACTTCGTAACACAAATCCGATATATTTATGAGATTGGGGTGGATTGATACAGAATTTTTTTGTCGGGGTGTAGGCATGTAGCGTCTGAGGGACATGGTCAAAGGTTCGTGGTTAAGCGGACATCCCCCATTATTCCCACGTTAACGGTTCACCTATGCACTTTAGGCCTACGTCATGGCGTAAACACAAATGTTGGCGCCATGGATGACATAGCAAGGCACTTGGCGATTTGGGAATTTTAGAGTCTTTACATTGTCTTTGTTAAAATATCACAAATATTGGAACAAATCGTTATCGTATTTACCTGTCAAGGCTTATCATTATTGAAGAAGTAAAGCATGCCTGTGTACCATCCAGCCGGCCTAATTTAAACAATTATCATATCTATTAACTTATATTTCGCTCTCTGCACACCTAATAAGCCTACTCTCAGCCAGGCTCTTCGCCTTTTTACAGTACTTTTCTTATTAAGAATTAAACATAATGTTAGAGTGTAAACAGTTTTTTTTTTTTTTTTTTTTTTTTTTTTGCAGTGGAACTATCATGTGTATAATGACTTGATGTTGCTTAAAGAAGTTAATGTTTGTAAATAGGGAGGTTTCGCAAGCTTACGAAACAATAACGAATACGGTTACGTCATCAAATGTTTAGTCAATCCATCTCCTACAGTATCATGTTTATCACAACGTAGGTCGTCCATGCCTGTTACACGAATCAACGATCATATTATTATTATTATTATTATTATTATTATTATTATTATTATTATTATTATTATTATTATTATTATTATGACGATAATGATGAGGATGTATTCGTTATCGTTTTCGTAAGGTTGTGAAATGTCCGAAATATTATATATTTTCTGTAATGGCTAAGCATGATAGACAACATTGTACAGGAAAAATTTCTCTTTGTTGTCTGCCATTTCTGTTTGAGTAAAATATAATTGTGAATATGAACTATGAATATCTCATCCAGCATAGGCATAGATCTAATCCTAATTTCTTCTTTTAAAAAGCCAGAAAATAGTCCCATAGCTTGTGTTGGTATCCAAAGTTTCAAAGAAATCACTCTCAACAGTGTCGTATTTTGCCGGGCCCTTTGATGTGAAGAGAAGAAGGCCGCAAGCGCTGAGGAGGGGGATGTGGGAGCCACTAATTGCTCTCTAGGTATGTCCAGGGTCCTTTGGAATAGAGGAAGCACCCGGATGCTCCGACGTTTTAAATTTCACGAGCCGTATTTTAATATTATATAAAAAGAATGACAATTTATTGTAATAAGTCCTTCTTACTTTCTTCTACCATAGAGAAAATAGAACAGTTCTATTTTCTCTATAGCTTCTACTTAAAAGAAGAGAAATTTTCGTGGCACAAAAAAGGTAAATAATTGAGTTAACCAAGTAATCAATAATAACCCTCTAAAAACTTAATTATTGAGTGGCCCGCTGGCCGTTTTTTTTTTTTTTTTTTTTTTTTTAAATATTAATTTGGATTTCTTTTTTAATAAGACTACTTTATTATTTCTCTATTCAACGAGCCATTAAAAGTACTTT